AGAAAGCCCACCGAGAGAAACCTAGGTAATCAATACTTCGACACAGCAGTATTTGAGTTAAGAAAGATTTTTGTAGTAGAGTATGATTTAAACAACAGGAATGTTGATGAACATGCGGCGGTCTTTACGTTACAGTTTAGAGAACCATACCTTCAGTGACGTGGGGACGGCAACACTCAAGTTCGCGCGACCACCGTGACTGGCAGACAGGGACAAATTATAGTTTTCCCACGGCCTTTGATTTCAGGAGTGAGTGCTTCAGCTCATAAAGTAACTCGCGCCACGCAAAACCGTGGTTTCGTTTCACAGCATGACGGCATGGCTGGTATCCGGCACACTTGCGTCGGAGCGTACACACAAGCCCATGTCTACAGCGTCTCAGTTGAAACAATTTTAAAAAGCCGACAAGACGAGACCCACGAGACGACGAGAGCGCGAAACGAGAGACGGCGGGAAAAACCATGTAAGACCGGATGGACAATTCATGCAGAGTACTTTCTGTCGGGCGGACGCTTGCGCCACCTAGCTCACGCATGCTCAATTACAGCATTCAGTTTAGTTTCGGTTTTGAAATGCGACCGAAATTGGTCCTTTGGCGCAGGCTTGGCACAGATCACCCATATTTCGGCAAAATGCAGCAGCATGTAGCAGGGTTGGGCCCTTGGCGCAGTTTGGTGCAATTGGCGCAGCAATCACATCACTGTAGTATAAGAAGAGTAGACAGAATAACTAAATTGTAAAACTTTTTTGGAGAAGTTTTAATTCTTCAGCAAGATAGTTCTGCCATGGAGACCATACAGATGATGAATGTTCTAACTTGGGGCATACAAAGGTGAGCTATGCAACGCATTCAATATTAGGAGGGGCTAGTATTAAATTGTCCAGGAGAAAGTCAAGTGCACTGTCTTCCTTACCGATAGTAGGTCTAATGCGGGTGATCCGTGTAAAATTTCTTGTTATATAAAGACAAACATATTTATAAAACAAGAATGTGCTGATTATGGTATCGTTAATACTGTAGACATAAAAAGATGGTAATGAAAGCTGAGCAAATGTAAGCAATTTGCATTTCTTTATCCTCGAGGACAACAGCCACTATCACACCAACCCGCTATGGATAATAAGGCAGTTTGCAAGGATAAGTGATAATCGCCATCTGTGACAGGAGTAAATTAGTCATCTGTGAAAAGGCAGATAGTGGACGAAACACGAAAAGGATGACCATTGATACAGATTAGGAAAAGAAGCGGTCTGAGCACGTTTTCTAAAGGAATGCCCAATGTTAAGTTGGACTTGGATCACATGAAGTTATTTATAACAGTGCATTGAACTTGATTGGAAACAAATTAGAAAATCCAGGCAACAATAAAGGGATCTATTGTGACATTGCACGATAAGGTGGTTATGAGACACCCTGTCAAATGCTTTTGAGAAGTCTAGGAATATATAGTGTTGAAACTGACAAGAGGTGATTTGGAGCAGCTCTTGTAACAGGAAAAAATCGGTTTTGGAGCAGACAATTTTGAGCTTTCATGTCAGAAAGTTTTATACAATCTCTTCGAAAGTTAGCCCATAGAAAAGACTGTAGCTGTTGGAGCGCTGGGAGACTGAAGTGTTATGCCCACAGAAGACCTGGCTATACAGATATTTATTTATTTATTTATTGAACAATCATACGCCAGCAATTTTGTAGAAGTCTCAATTAACCTATTATTAGTACCGATGGCATCTTCAGTCTGTGTCGTAAAAAGATATTTTCAGCTACTTTGTACAGGTTTTATTACAGTGACGTAATTGTCACAAAGTTAACATCAAACGGACACTTATGGTTGAAAGTGCCTCACATTGCCCTCCCTCGTATTCAACTTGCTGCTGTTCATATAGCAGCTAAGCAGAGCACATAGCTACTCTAACCGATCACGAGTAGCGGTAGCTATTCATTGCGATCGATGTGAGCACCGTTCCCAAAAAAAACAATCAACGAAAACTCTTTGTTTGGCATGAGCAAAAATAGATTTTGGGTTTGAAGCAAATTCAAAGTGAATAGTAATAGTTCTTTCGGTCGAATATTTTTTAATTGAATATTGAAGACGTTTTGCACCTATCTCCATGCCTTTTACTACTGTTCCACCATGCTTAAACAAAAATTCAGCTGGACTCACGAAGGTTGTTCCTAATTGCCCGTTTATGAGTAGTTAAATTTAATCTAGCTATATTTATAGACTGTAGCCTCAGAACGTCCAGTACCTACAGTGGGATGGCAAGTAAATGACAAATTTGACATAAAATTAAGCCTATAAAGGAGCCTAGCCATACATAATTGAGGGGATTTTTTAAAATTTTCTGCCTATATAAAAATATTTTTGTTGATTCTGAATTTAAAAAAAGCACAAACAATAAACAGAGGTTTTTAGAACATTGCTGCCTACAGCCCGTTGTAACTCAAGAAGGTAGGGTGAGGGTAGGACGGGCCAGGGAAGTGGAAGCAGACGGAATGCTGGAGAAGAGAGGGGGAAATCTCTCTTAAGTGTTCCATCTGCTTCCTTTGCCCCGGCCCATCTTACCCTCAGCCCACCTTCTTGACTTGCAATGGACTCTAACATATACCCTTGAATAATAGCCACAGTTAAATTTTGAAGATTTTACTGCAATGTAATAATAACGATCCCAAAACTTTTATATGTTGCTTTTTTTTCTTTTAATATACATTAGGCATGCGCGTGCACCATACTAGTTTGAAGATGTGCTTTTCGCATAAGCGCGCGAATGAGCTTCGGTGAAGCGGGTCACGAGATCGCTGTGTCAGCTTCATGGGTATTGCTTCTCCGCAGTGCAACTGTGCTTCAGGAGAAGCGCACTCAAGGGGGCTAACCCGCTGCAATCAACACTTCGAAATGTATGAATATTGCAGTTCATTTTTTAAGCGAATATCACCATATTATTTCGAACTACTATTAGAAAATTAAAATATACTCGCAGCTCTATTCTTCGCACATACTGGTTAGGCATCAAGAAAAAAAAAACTACTTTCTTAACTTTCAGTGGCATCGCTTGTCACGTGCCAGACACTTTCAGTTTCCTTTTTGAGAACTGCTCCCTTTCGGCGCAGACATGACGCAAATTGCGCGCAAATACAGCCTTTAGAGCAGCATGTAGCAGGTTATTAATTCTGGCGCAGTTTGGCACAATTAGCGCAGCAGTTTTACCACTCAATATAGCAACGGTTTGTTGTTTACGTTGCAAATTTAATTGAATGTCATGTATAAATCACAAAAGTTGTATTTTGCATGATAAAGTCTTTCTAAATCTGTGCTTGTTTTTGTTTAGGAGCATATTAGGCTCAGTGTATCTAATGATGTTTGAAGATATCATGCTGAGTGATCTAGAACAATAGTGAGGTGAATTTCTATCTCCGAACCTATGTACCTACTTGTTGTATAACATGTATTAAGTTATGTAAACCGTTTAGTTAGCGCGTTTTCTGGATATATTTATTACCCTGATTGTTTTTCCTGCATCTCCGTCACCATCTGCCAAGCTCTCGGGGCCCGGACCTAGTAAGCCAACGAAGATTGGCTTTATCGTCCGTGGCTTCGACATCTGTACTTCCAGATGCAATAAATGATTTGATTTAATGTACAGGGATTGCATGGCTGACATTTAAAAAGGCCCTGCAAGGACTTTTGTACTGGTTTTTAATTTGCACTGAACCTGAGTGCACTGAACGTCGTATCTTAATGAAACTGTTCTTTTAACGAATTTTGCTTTATTTTAAAAGATATAGGCAAATTAAAAATACAAAAACAAGCACAAAAACCCTCTTTCATGACGTCCTTCGTCGCTTGAGTGGTTGTGAACTAGAGGAGGATTAGTGAGCTCAACAAGCACACACGGCTGCCGCACTCCGTGTCGACGGCTCGAGAGGGCGCCACTAAAGCATGTTCCGGTTAGGCTGTATGAAGCGGGCGGCCAAGGTGGCTCGCACTGCACTTGCTGCACGATCAAACACTGATTCGGCATGACACTTCATTGGCCACCAACGACAGCAAGCACGAGTTAAAAATATGTTCAGAAAGGGAGCCACTTCGCGCTACCATACCACCAAACGGCCAAATCGCAAGCCAAATCTGCTCGCGAAAGGCCTTGGAAACGCTCGGAACCAGTCGGATCCTCGAGCCCGTATACGACCGCAGCGCCGCCGCGTACATCCGAGACCTTTCTACGCTCGCCGCTCATCGGTGCCTGACCCCACTTCCCCTCTAGTATGCGCCGCCTTTTCCACCGATTGGTGGTGGATATGTCGACGGGTCATTTCTTGTTTCCGTCTTTATAGACTGCATTTGTTTCTTTTCTGATCTAATATACTGAACAAAAAGTACTTTCATAAATATTTGAAATGGTTCGCACCACTTATATTTTGTATTTCGACTAAAAAGAAGCTTTTAGCGGGTCTGACCAGTAGACTACACAAATTGCGCGCTTTCGGCACCGCAGGTCGCCCCCGTAGGTGGAGGAGGTTTCCACGTCGTCCGGTTAAAATATAACGCACTGGTATTTAGTTACTCTCTCCGTGCCCGCTGCCTTGCCGGAACCCCAAGAGACGTGGAAACCGCAAAAAGGGTAGGCGCTTAAATATGATTGCAGGGCCCCTTTAAGTCAAGAGGTATGCTACCAGAGGAGTGATTCTCGATAGATGTCAGTTAGAACCAGAAATTCTATAGGCTTGGTGTTTTTCATGACTGTAATTTATGTGGTTGCCACCAGAACTTGTGGAAAGTTCCAGATTTTCAATGGCTAAGGATGTATATCTAACAATTATATTCTGCAGATATTGAACAAGGAATTGCCATTATTACACAAATAATTACAATGCTCCGAGAAGTAATTCCACTAAAGAATAAAACCGAACATACCAACAGCCTCCTGTCAGCAGCTTCCATGAGTCTTGGTAGTTTCAAACAGCAACATGTCCTCTAGAAGTGGAGCATAAATGGCTCTGGTCTGTGCCTGGTCTGGTGCTGTAGCTGTCTGAGGGCCATGAGTCCACGGTCACTTGAGCCTTGGTTTCACCCCTCTATTCTTCTACACGGGCCACAAGCTGTAGTACCAGGCTTGCAGTAGAAAAGAAACTGAAGGTGTTAAAGATGCACTTCTGAAAAGACAAGGCACAAAAGAAACCATCAACCACTTAGCTTGAAAGGAGCTAAAAAAGAAAATCATACAGATTTAATTAGAACAAAACTTTGAAGATTCATCTCAACCACCCAGGTATTGTGAACCTAGACTGATCTTGCAGCACAATAAGCCTCAGTGAAATTGCAGAAACCTCAGTCTTGTTTACAACCTGATAACTCGGCATCTTGCCTCAAAGCCAACTTTCAATTAACAGCTAATACATTAAACCCTGAAGATACAGCACCAATAAGAGATGAGCATGGTCATGACAGCCTGCTTGACTTACAGTGTCAAGTTAAGGGTCAATCAATGGAACTATTCTCTAAGGCCCTTAAAAACTGTGGTCGAGACAATTGCTACAACCAAAAAGATACTTCAAGTAGCTGTCAGTATGCGCTGTACAAGCAGAAGTGTCAAGGGAAGGTTGAAAGGGCCACAGGAAAGCACTGTCTTCCCAAACCTTAGATCCGCCACCCGAAAAACACTTTACTTTCACACGGGGGGGAGGGAGCTAGCCTTGCGGCTACAATTTCAGCTATCTGCTCACGTGATAGGGACAGTATACCCAACCTCGACATCAGATTGAACATAGTCCGAAGGTTCAGTTGACCGACTGCTTACAAAGCAAATTGCACGGACCAGAGGAGCCTGCTTTAGTATGTTGGTCAGCGACTGTGTGCTGAAAAATTAACAAACTAGGGAAGAGTCATGCTAATGCAGTGCTTATATCTGTAGTGAGTTTGAAAGAAAAAGATTATGCACGTAAAATGCTTTCAACAGGCCTGCGAATGTGCATTAAAAACTCGCATAAAGATGTTGGCCTGAACTAGGTTTCGGTCGGTGCTGCTTCGATTGCTCATAACTGATCTCATTCCAGGGGTAGTGATTAACAGAAATAAAACAGGCACAAAGGCTGTTTCACACACTTGCGACTGCTTCTGGCTGGAGAGGTTAAAAGACTGGCTTTAAACCTCTATAAATGCTTATGACTGCCGTGCCGGTTGTAGGCAGTTGCAAGTGTGTGAACCATGCCTGCTTTCTTATGCAATAATACACTGGACAAGGAAACTTATTGTATGTTTCTATGATTGCAACACAAGAATGCGGTGAGACTGGAGTATTCAAGTTCTAGTGCGGTGAATCACAGTTTGCTCTTTTATTTAGGCCTGCAGGAATGATGTCCTGGGAATAACAACAACATCAAGCCTACACAACCAAAAACACCTACCTGCTTCCCATCATACTTTGAAAAGACCTTGTTTTTTAAGGCATGGCCAATAAAAGAAAAAGCTGATGGCCATAGAGAATCTTCTGTCACAGAAATAACACTACATACTGCCATATATGTCAGGATAGACAATATCCCAAATTAACCATGCACAAAAGAGAATGCTGAGAATGTATGAACATACACTGCATGTGCTGGTGTCTGCAAGCGAATCTGTTCAAAGGTAAAAATCTAAAATAAATACCCCATTGCACACACATTCCTCGAAACCCTATTTTGGTTTTTTGCCTCGAATCCTTTATGCAGAGAAGGCAAGCGTGTGCAGCATGTGTACCTACGTTTCCAGTATTCCCCTTGGTGCTTGGGTAATTAGCAAAAAGTCTATTGCTGAAGTTGTGTCAAATTTGTGTCCAAGCAACACACTGTGGTCGTTGCAGACATCGTGGTTGAAACGGATGCCGTCAAAGCTACAGCTCCTGATGCAAATTTCTGAAAGGGCCATTAGAGGCAAGCACACATGTCAAAAAGTCGGTGAGGGGGGGGGGGCAAACTTACCGGTGAAATTTCGCTGCCTCAAAGAATCATGACTGCCTGTGACATCTTTGGGCGATAGTAGCTCCTGGGGTGCTATTAGCAAATAAGATGGATTGTTAGGTACAAATCTTCTAACATTCAGAATTTAAAAAAATAACTATTGATTGAGTACAGAACCCTCAGATGCGTCTGCTATATAAATGGTTGTGCAGCGAGAGCACATTCGAAAAATGCGACCTCCTGCTGAAAATAACAATGCACGTATGCTTTACATACAGCATTTCTTTGCAGAGCTGGTGGTTGCATATTATCACTGTTCCCGAACTTCCACTTCTATGGTGCACAACCATGTGTTCTATGTTGAAATAGAACACAGGGCTCTCAAACCAATAAGTGTTTTCACGACAATGTCATACCTACAAGTGTTCATTCTGTTGTTGTTTTTTTCCTGTTTTTATCTCTGCGAGACATATGATAGTTATTTCTTCGCTGTTTTTGTAGCTTGCTTTGTCAAGAAGATGAAAGAGAATACCCTGTCAAGCAAACAACTGTTGGCTTTTTGTCTGCCTCCCAGCATTTGTACTTGTACAGGTGCAAATAAAATGATTGATTGATTGATTGAACTAACACAAAATGGAAGTGCAACAGTCTAATTCATTCCCTATAACCAAACAACAGAATACACGCTTGAAAACAATACAGGTGCCTCCACTAAGGAAAGAGAAAGGTAAAATGTAGGCTTCAAAACGCAAACATATTGTAGCCAATGGCGTCATGTCACTTGACACTCAGCAGACTACTTCCCGCTGCATACGCTTAGCTGTTGGCATAGGCACATAGCCCCCTGCTTTTCTAATTCACCGTCCTCTCCCCCTCCCTCTTCGTGTCACACCCTCATGGAGCTTTGGGAAGCAACTTGAAGCCAATATATATTTTGTTGCAAGTTAAAAGCCTGGGTCATCTGTATTATATTTTATGTCCCTCTTTTCTTGCCCAGTTTTCTCGCTAGACTGGCCACGCGACAATCAAATGCAGGCGCACTTACTGCTCCCTCTGTTAAATCTAGGCTCTCTCCGTCATCTCCGCCGGCATGTTGTCGTTAGCGCTCTGAACGCCTCTATCGGCATGCCACAACGGCGTCTCCGCGTGCAATGCGGTAAAGCTGCTTCCCAGATAAGGAGCGGAGAGCAGACGACGTTGCAAAGACTGCCGCCGGCGGCCTTTCCAGCATCTTCTACTGCCTGTTTTGGGCGCCTTCTTGGTCGTGACAGCAAAGTGCGGCGGTCTGAGACTTAGGGCCAGTTGCACCAATGCAGCTTAGCGCAAATCAGAGCTTAGCAGGGAACCTAAGCTGAGTTTTGGTTTTGTTCTGTTGCACCAAAACCACTTATCGCTAAACCTAGCACTAAACCATGCCTATTGTGAGCGCTCAACATCGGGTACTTCAATTGGTCGTTTTTTAATCCTGGATTTAAAACATGTCGGCTGGTTTGTGGTGGTCTACACGGTGGACGAAATTGGTTGTACAAAGTGTTTTAGGCTACAGCAGCGTGAGAGCCTCAACAGAATGACCTTCGATTGCGACAGATGCAAAATATTATGAGAAGTGTTTATCGACCCGTTTTCAAGTTGACTTTCCACTCTCAGTGTGTGTTAGCCCTAACCGGGGAAGGTATGCAGATGTGGGGCTCACGCACGGCTCACGTCCATCTTCCCATTGGCTTTTATTTCAGCGTGCTTATTCGTATGCAGTTATTTGCGAATATCTGTAACGTATTGCTATTTACAACCTTGTTTATTTTAGAGCGCAGCTCTTAGGCACCCGTTTCGGCTTGAGTGGAGTCGGCGTAACCGCACGGTGGATTATGGGACACCACCCATGATGCAATGCGCAGGGAGGAGGATGAGGGGGAGGAAAGGAAGGAGGAGGAGGGGGAAGAGAAGGAAGGAGGGGAGGAGAGAGGAGCTTGAAGGATCAGGTGAGGGGGAGGTGGAGGATGAGGAGGAGGGGAGGAGTAGCAAGGAGGATGAGTGGGTGAGGAGGAGGAGGAGGAGGAGGGGTATACCCTCCCCTTAGTACCCTTCCCTCGTCTTCTTTAAGAGCTGCGCTCTAATTCGGCGTTACAGGGTGTTGTAAACGTCTGATTTTTACTTTCAACGCATTTCCTTTTTTCCGGTCAGCGCGTTGAATAGCGGCAGTGCATGATCTCGGCGATCAGCCGATTGTAGCCACATTCTTCCGTTCTCATTAAACTGCGGTGAACAACGCATTTAGACAATAATGTAACGAAAAGGCTATCTTTTTGTGTTGGGACAATCTTTAAGAGAAGTTTCTTTGTCTCCCGAGTAAAATCTTAGCTTCGGAAAACTGTGTCGTTCTACAGTCAAAATTTATCTGGTGACCGCACTTTGTAGCGGTGACAAGAAATCATAACGACTAAGACGCAAGATTTGCTCAGCACTGTATTAAGGCAGGCTGCGGCGGGTGGTGCGAAGAGATGACTGTTCTCAAAGACACAATGTGATGACCTAGTGAGAGTTTCATACTTCAAAGACCGCCACCGCCTTACGTTCAACTAGGGAGACAGGCAGTGTACTATGCCACAGCTCACACGCCATGCCCCTCTGGGTACAGATGCTACCACATGTTCTGCAGTACCGTAGAAGCTAATAATCGTTCAGTAATTGTATTTGTGCTTCAATATATTTAAATTGTTGTCAAAATTGAATACAATATTTACTTTTATTTTTGGGGTGCACTTTCTTGCAATGCACATAAGTTGTGTGGTGAAGTAGGCATCATGAAAATACCCAGTATTTCAGTTTTCTGGCTGCACTTGACATTTTTATACAAATATGTGTGGTTAAATTATCCTTGGCAAGTAACTGGATCCCAGCCCTAGACTCAAGCCTTGCTTATTCCAGCATCTGCTCATCGAATTTCTTAAGGAAATAATTCAGGTACTAACAAAAACATGAAATGCTTATGAAGGCTGATCGGGAATCTGAATGGTTTATTTTGGAAAATCATGTAGGTCATCAATGACCTAAGCTTAATGTGATAATCCTAGCGTTGGTTTTCATGATTGAGATCTGAGGCAGAGCAGGTGAAATAGAAAAGAAACTATGTACAATGTCTAGGTCTAAGGCACAGCTTGTATTTGTTTGCTAAAAGACAGAACTAACAGACACTTAGAAAAACCCTCAACACCTAGGCATAGAAATTAGAACAGCCTAATAGAACCAGAGGAATGAAATGCACGACTGCCATAGAAAGATGGAACTTTACCAATCTGGGGAAACTTTACGTAACACTGACTATTTAAAATAAGTGAGAAGCCAGAGCGTAATGCAGCTTACTTTTTGAACTAACCTAAAATTAACTATCTTCAATTTTTCAATTTTATGAGCTAACAGAATAATGACTGATGCAGCATAAAGAAAGTTAGAAGGTCAAGTTACAAGGTTACGTATAAAGACCCCAAGTTAGCAGTCATGCTGCATATGGGAAGTTTTCTTTCTGCAGTGGAGACACAAACAGTCTAATTTCATAACTGACTGATTCATCACTCTCTGAAGGCTAACAACACATTTAATTTTGACTTTTATGATCCTAATAAAGTCAAAGTAGGAAAGTTTTACCTACACAAAGATATACCAGGTGTTTCTTTCAAAACTTAACAGATTTGTTTAAAAAGCCGTGAAAGTTACACTTATGCGGTTTGTGCAGATGAGTTATACAGCCAGGGGGATAGAGTATTGGGGCTAATTGTAACGATAAGTCAGCTAATTATTTAAAATTCGTTGATTAACTTTTTAAATAAATAAAAATCGACACATAGTTCCAATTAGAAACTTGCTAAGCGCCATTGAAAACCACTAAATCAACTCTTTTTAGAACATAAAGCATGGGCAGCATTTTACGTCGTTCTAATGAAGCGCTCAATTTGGATGTGTTTCTAGGTTTCGCTTACTTATCCGAGCACATATCTGCACCCGCAATCCTGTCCCCCTCCCCTCCCCTTCCCTCCCCTCCCTCCTCTCCTCTCCTCCGGTAGTCACGGCGCGAAGCCACTCCCTCGCTTACCTTGTAGCATAGAGGGAAGTTGGGCGCAACTGTGTTGCACGTCTCAGCCACTGTCGAGCAGGACCGTGGGCGCAGAGATGCACTGCAATAACAAATCGAAACCTAGAAACGCGTCCAAATTGAGCGTTTTCATGGAACGCATTAATATACGGCCCCTGCGTTATGTCCCTCGAAAAAGAGTTGATATAGTGGCCTTAGGTGACGCTGAGCAAGTTTCTAATTGGAACCACATGTCTATTTTCATTTATTAAAAAGTTAATTAACGAATTTTACTTAATTAGCCAACTGATCGTAACCATTAGCCCCCTATACTAAGTTCCCTTGGCCGTATACCTCACCTGCGCAAACCGCTTTAATGTAACTTTCATTTTTTAAAACAAAGCCACAAAGACTGTCTTGGTGTAAATGCTATATGTATTCCGTTACTAAGATTGGCTCATGAAGTAAACTAAACAATGGATAAGTATGGTTGGAGCCAGAATGCAGACGTTAGGAAGGATCCATGTCGTACGAGGGTGATTAAAAACTTATTTCACTTTGGTCAACTTACACCTTCTGTTCGCTGCACTGTCTTATCGGCACTTTTCATACAAGGTTGCTGTATCTCCAGTCACTGCTGTGCAGGCTTGAATCTGTTAAATCAGTTCAGTTGGGACTGAGGTGCTAGGAAGAATGGCTGTCCCATGCTTAAATTGTACAAGTGAATCAGTCATCGTTCTCGTGATATGAAGGGGTGTCCAGTAATTCCATATATATGAATATACCGATATCCATAAAAAAGAACATCGTGCACAGTATTATGGAAATGTAAATGTTTTCTCGCAAAGAAATGCGTTTGAATGGATACAGAAGTTCTATGAAGAATGCACGAGTGGCAGTCATAAAGGAGCCAATGCCCATCCATTTCGACGACTGAGAATGACGTTGAGACACGCGAGAGGTGTTGAGACACTTCTGCAAGGCAATGGGGGTCTCCAGAGGAAACTCAGATGCTGAAGATAACCAGACTATTGGCATCGTCCCCATATCACAGTTAATCATGGTCTTGAATGGTGCTATTATAGTCGAGTTCTCTATTTTGTGACCACACTTGCCTCCAGATGGCTCCAACGTGCTGAGAACTACCCCGGGATAGTCGTCGGCCTCCGATTGTAGTCAATAATTGGTCTTGAATGGTGCTATGACAACAAAGTTTCCTTTCTGGTGAGCGAACTTGCCTCCAGACATCTCTCCAATGATGAAAACTACCTCGGAATGGTCGTCGTCCTCCTATTGTAGCCAATAATTGGTCTTAGACGGTGCTATGACAACGAAGTTTCCTTTCCGGTGAGCCAACCTGCCTCCAGACGTCGCTGAAATGATAAAAACTACCTCGGAATGGTCGTCGTCCTTCAATTGTAGGCAATAATTGATCTTAGATGGTGCTATGACAACAAAGTTCCCTTTCTGGTGAGCCAACCTGCCTCCAGACGTCTCTGAAATGATGAAAACTACCTCGGAATGGTCGTCGTCCTCCGATTGTAGCCAATAATTGGTCTTGGACGGTGCTATGACAAAGAATTTTCCTATCTGGTGAGCCAACTTGCCTCCAGATGTCTCTAAAGTGCTGAAAACTACCACTGGATGGTCGCTGTCCTTAAATTGTAAACTGAACTTTGAAAAAAAAATGTGGTCGTTAAAATTATTATAAATCATTTACACATGACAATTTTGTAATCCTGACATGTTGCAAACGGACAGATGCTTAAGGAACTATATCATGTAAAATTTACTGAAAGGACAGATATAAGGGCACTGCCATTCTTATTTCAAATGCAGCACTGATAATAGGCACATTCAAGTCCCACTAAGTTTGTGTTTAGGTCTTGCACTTAGGTGTTCCTGATATTTGGTGCAGCCGCAAACAGACATGTGCAATTATCTTTAGGAATGTGGGCTGGGCTTGGTTTAAACGGCTCAGCCTAAATTGCCCTTTTTCATTATGGGACTATACTGAGTTTGTATGAGCTGCATTTTGTGCAAGGTTGGCTGCTCACGGTAGAAATCAACTGAACAAAGCTTACAAACACAGCTAACCAGGGCTGTGGAAAAGTAAATGATGAAGCTATTCAACAAAATTTGAAACACAAAAGACAGTGTTGAAGAATGTGCTGTAAGGTTGTTTATATTTTAATGTCTAGGGTGACTATGACTGAGCAAGCAATGTGTTGTAAGTCCTTAAGTATTATCAATAAAATAGCCTGATAAGTAGAATTTCAATTGTGTAGATCATAAAATCACTTCAAGGGTGTGCAATAGTCCGAACCACCAAGGGAAGCTATAATCATAATTGTTGATATAAGCACTTGTAGCTTTTATGAATAATAAAATGCAAAAATGATTCTCCCTAATTAGTTATATAGACAGGTATAGATTTCTCAACAAATGTTTTCTTTTTAAATGGAAACTTTAGTACGTTGGTAACTCAAATAAAAAGGCAAACAGCAAGGAAGACAAATATCAAGATAAAAAAAAAAACAGGGTGCTTTGTAAAAAGGGAAATAGTTTATGCATAAAGGCATAATGGAGAACAGCAACAAGTACATTGTTCAGACTAGTTCAAGCCACATTTCGACATGACCCATTGTTCAGACTAGTTCAAGCCACATTTCGACATGACCAATCGTGGAGATTTGTAAGTTTATATCCCACGAGCTTCATGACCGAGACAACATGGTCCAGTGATTTTAAATGCGTCTTAAAACTATGAAAGCTCAAAATTATTCCTCCAATGTGGATGTTTTAGGTTACTACCTGAACCCCAACAGCTTCCACCTCTCACCCTAGCTATAATAGTTATTAGAACAAAACACACAAATGGAGCTTAATCTAGTCCATGACGATAATTTGCAATAAATGCAGCCAAGATCATAAAGAGGTTACAGGGAAAATTGTAATATTTGTGTATTTTGTTATTATACCCTAACCAAACAACGACTTGAGTATGAGTTACCGGCTTGGAGATCCCAAGGCTGTTCAAACTGCTCACCGTGACTTCCGTTTTCGGGATATTGGCGTACAGGGGCATATATAAAGTAGACAAGTAATTTGTGCCCGCAGAGTGGCACATAAAATAAAAATGGCCGAGGCTGCACAGCTACCTTCGAACATCACAGTATAAAACACAACTCCGTTTGGGGCTGCAGCAGATGCTCAACGATGGCGCAGAGCAGTTGCGCGGCTTTGCTGAGAGCAACGCGTACAGTCGACGCAAGTCCCCCTTACCTCGCGACCTGATCTCTCGACGCCTTCTACAGTCAAATCTCGGTACAGCGAACACCACTTTAACAAACTTTTCAGATTAACAAACTTCTAAAAAATCCCGCGCTAACTGCCAATGGTTGTAATTAGTGATGGGCTGAACTTTTACACAATCGAAAGGTCGGCGCCGAATCTTGGGATTCGGCATATCCGAACTTTTGCCAAACTTTTCTCAAGATTCGGCAAAAATACATTGTTACCAGACTTAACCTTGATATTTAGTTCTTCCTGGCGAAAAAAGGTTTTAGGTTGTTTTTTTCTTAACTTATATGCAACATGTAATGCATATTAACACAGTTATTACTAAATAAGGTGATATTCTACAAGATAATTGTATCTGTGTCGCTTTTGTGTTTACTGGCAATTTTAATGACTCGTTGCAGAAGTGGCATGACAATAAGGTTGGGTAGAAGCGAGCTTCGCGCAGTGGCACAGTCACGAATCATGCTACGAGAGTTTCGGTTTTGAGGCATTATCAGCGCAAGGCTGCATGTGCGTGTACATTGTTAAAATGAAGGCAATAATGCTGCGTTCTTGCTTTCTCTGACAGTCAACAGTTTGTGCACACGCGAAAATGAATGCAACAGTTGCTGAGCCTTCATCAGAAGAGATAATAACATTATTGTAAATATGCATGTTTTTCGATTTGAGTCACTTGACGTCAGCTTTGGATGAAAGTGTGCGTTCCATATTCACAACGTCTCCGTTTTTAACCTTTAATACACCGGTTCCTGGTGTTAGGACACGCACAATCGTTTAGGAAGATAGGGAAAGTAAGGCATGCCGGATCTGCAACGTCGAGCATTATAGTTCTGTGCTTAGTTTTATACAGGTATATGAAAATCGTAAAATAACGCTAATAGGCCTTATGCGAAACTGCTTTGTGGTCTGACAACACTGAGAGCGTCGCCATTTTAACGTTGGCAAGCGTTGTCGGTACCGAAGCACGGTGAAAACATCGGAGACAGCCGTACGGGCAATGTGCGATGGCACAGCAACTGTTTTCTGCCTTCTGACCATATTATGTGGACGAACAGTTTAAACAACCTATTGCAACCGTCTTACAAAACTCTCGAAGGCCTGTGCACGCTGGCGACAACCTCGTCGAAGCAGCGTACCAAGTCCTACGCCTACGCTGAGGAAGCTTGTTGTCGCCAGCGGGTGCACAGGCCTCCGAAAGAACTGGGCCGTCATGCCCGTTCATGTTTGAGAACATTTTAGAGCGCAGCTCTTAGGGGCCCGTTCCCGGCTTGAGCGGCGTCGCCGTCGCCGTCGGCGTCGCCGTCGGCGTAACCAAGGTCATCCCAAGGTCACGTGACCCCCAAGGTCACGTGACCCCTCCCAAGGTCATCTCAAGGTCACGTGACCCCACGTGACTCCCAAGGTCACGTGACCCCTCGAGGTCACGTGACCCCTCCCAAGGTCATCTCAAGGTCACGTGACCCCACGTGACCCTTTGAAGGTCACGTGACCCCCAAGTCACGTGACCCCTCTGAGGTCACGTGACCCCCGAGGTCACGTGGTCTCCTCCCCAAGGTCACGTGACCCCCAAGGCCACGTGACCCCTCCCAAGGTCATCTCAAGGTCACGTGGCCCCAAGGTGACTCCCACGTGACCCCCAGGTCACGTGACCCCTCTGAGGTCACGTGACCCCTCTGAGGTCACGCGACCCCCCGAGGTCACGTGACCCCCCTCCCCGAAGTCACGTGACACCCCCCCCCCCCCGAGGTCACGTGACCGCCCCCCCCGGAGCATATTAAAGAATGAGGGGAGGAGGAGGGGTCTACCCTCCCCTCAGTACCCTTCACTCCTCCTCCTCAAGAGCTGCGC